TTAGAGGACGTGACGTTGAGGCTATTGTTTGTGATGGCCTAATAATGATAATTTAGAATATATTTTTTTTATACATTTGACATTTTAATTCCTTTATATTAAATCTCATATTCCTTTTTATTTGTGCTTAAATATTAGCTGCATTAAACTAAATTTAGATCAGACAATTAATTATTAGTTGGATATCAAGTTCATAGCCGCTCCATTAAACTTTTAAATACTGAATGAAGCCGACCTTTTAAATACTGAATTTTATGTTTGTTATATAAAAACTTTTTTCTTTTTCTAAAGGTTGACTTTTCTCAGTACAACAGTAATAAACCAAGGATTTGTGATGAAGTTATAAAATTACTTCACTCACCAAGACCAAGAAAAAGAGGTGTAAAAGCGTTTTATGTACGGACATGGATTTTAAAGAAATTTTCTGCTTCTTAGATACTGTTAATCTTAGCCCGAGTATCGAATTCTAACAAATACAAACCCTCTTAAGATCATTAGGAAAGAACGTCTTTAAGACTGCTAGTTTAGTTTTCTGTACCAAACGACAAATAACATAGTTCATAGGTCTTACTTTATTACCTTCTTTATTATTAATAATATGAACGAAATAAAATATAGTTTCAATATAAAAATTCTTAAACACGGCTATTTGACACGAAAGTATGGTAAAACGAAATTTCATCAAATCATCAACAAATATTTATTGCAATGATTCCATAATAATTTTCATTAAACATGTATGTTATGAAATAATTTCTAAACAAGGTATATTTATGTCATATGTATAATTTAACATAAAATTCAAGTTGTCATCTGTTATGTTTTAAACCATTAAATCGAACAAAATTAATCTATTTCTGTTATACAAACAACTCTTTCTTCAAGGCTCTGACTAGTAGTCGTAAGACTTCTTAGCTGGAAAACGATTAGAATTTCAAAAGGACCGCCGAGAAGTGCGGATGTCTTTGGTCCCACTGATTCATAATCGTGGCTCTACTATGTTAAGAAGATCGTTACAATGAAGACTGCGAACATTCTTTAAATTCTAATTCAATTGGACAGGTGTTTAATGGGTTTAATATCCTGAATCTTACAATATTCTCATTATAACATAGCTCTTTAATTGGTTCATACAAATATATCAGATTAATGTTCTTGATTGCAGGCTTAAACAGGAATATAATGTAGAAATGGCCGAGCCGGTCGTGGACCGTGTTCCTGAGTCAGCTTCAATTTGTCCACCCACCGTAAGATACATTTTGCAATTGAGTAGATTGTTCGCTTATGTTGGTTTCCTTTTTAGAGTTTAAGAATCCGATTTGCGCTTTCTGTACCGACATTGTAAATTATTGCGTGACGTAATGAAAGTCATTTGAATAGTTTGTACAAGAAATTTAGATCTTGATTTGCATTCAAAAACAGCGACACGAAAATTACTATCCATTCATCCTAAAATGCACAGTTTTTGCCCGCGACTTCGAATTTCGTCATTAGCAATATTTTATAGCTGACCGGGTGAACTCTATTATCCAGGTTTTTCCTGTTTCAATCGAACAGAATGATTGACATATTTGTTAGTTGTCAAATCTATGTCAAAAAAACGTTTGTATGGGAAATAGAAAAGGGCATTTTTTATGAATCCATAGACCTTCCCTGAACCTTCGAACATTTCAAGAAAGATAAGATAAATGCGTTCCGAGTTTTACTAAGGAACAGCAATCCATTTTTATATATATAGATTCTTTAAAAGAATTATGCGTCCTATGTTACTTATGTTCTATATTCAACCGCAGAAAACGAATTACATTAAAAGCCAAAGAGATCATGTTTTGAAACTATAATACAGACTTTGAATTCACAATTTCATAGCGAACACATAAATAAAATACACAACACTATAATATATATATATAAAATAATTTGTATTAGATTAAATGTTTTTTAATATCTCAAAACGCATATCTGTATCCAATGTATATTAGTTATGCCACGTTAATGATGGAAATCCATTTGAAACTCATCTGTAAGTTATAAAGCGTAATTGAAATCATTTATCAAACACACTAATAGCTTTTTACTCGTATATTCATCATAAAAATTACTAAATTATGACATAGTGATAAATCTTAATAATTTAAAGGTATGTTTCTATGGAATTTTCAATTATTTATGGCGATATATCTACGAGTATCTCTGGCCGTTGTGATCTCTTATATATTCACAAAAGCCCATTATACCTCAACACTAATTTGTTCTAATTTTTACATTACAATTTACATTACTATTCCATTAAGCAGAACATACTTTTGGATATACTTCCTTTACATGACTGAAAAATCCAAATAATCATCATTGTATTTTAAATGTAATTTTTGACGAAAAAAGTAATGAAAAATTTGTTATATTCTATTAATTAAAACATATTTCAAGTGTACAGCAGGACACAAAGGTTTCTTTCTGTAAGTAATAAGCAAGGCTATTCAATTATTCGTCCCCTAAGAAGTGATAAAGCTTAATTAGAGTTTGAATTTTAAATGTTTCAGACAAAAGAGTTCGTCAACTGTGTCGCAATCCTGGTTGTATGAGAAAATTGCATAAATAATAGGCCGGAGTTGACAACAGGTGTCATTATGAGTCTAGTCACGTAAAGTTTGCTTCTACACGTAATTTAGTTATTAACTTTGACGTAATATTGGTACTATCTTGAGTTTTCGAAAAGAAATTTTACCTACAGGCTCCATAACGAAAAACCTTGTGATATTTATTCCAATAAATCTTTTTTCCAAAAAGTCTTTTATTACTATAAAAAATCCAAACACAATAACTGTTTATTATTATACCCATGCATGTATAAGTAATTTCCTTATTATAAAGTAACGTTGTTTTTAAATTCGTTCAACACCAGTTTAATGTCTCCTCATCCTACAACTTCATCATCATTCATAAATCTTAAACTGCATTACATAATTGTATAATATCACCTAACAAGACTGGACATGAGTTGAAGGTCATCGTTCACTCATATGACACTACGATTATTACTTTCAACAGACATTTTTTTGTCATACAACAATCGAATACACATTTTTATCCAAGACCGGCAAAGTATTTGCGAGTTCTTTTATTGTAAAATTTATCAAACACCGACTCTGTCCTACTTGTTTTGATGCCCACAGGTTTTTACAGGATTTGATAGAGCAAATTATAATTAAATCAATCTATTTGACACTTTCATAAATAAACAGTCCTACCATGCAATTAACCTTCATAGTTGTCACGATTGTTTCGCTTTAATACGAGTCATAACAGCTGAAAAAAATATATATATCTTTGTATCTATAATAACAATATACAATAACGAAACATAAAAATACGTCTACTGATAATACAAATAAAATTCTGGTCATATACAATTTGAAAAAAATCTAAACTTAGTTACTTGATTTAATTTTTATTACTGTCTTAACTAAGTAGTTACTATCTATATTGACAATCTTATTTATTTTGTATTTTTTTATTACGAACTTAATTACTTGTTCATGGACTCTTATTCTATACATTTATTAATATAAAAGAAAATAATTATTTCACTTCAATGATAATAACAAAATATAATAAATCGAGCGAGACTAACAAGTTTTTTTTTATGAATCTTTTGTTTGAAATCTCATTAAGTTACTACTATATTCGCTGGATATGTGTGTGTGTATGGGTATATATAGAGCTCGGCATTAAGACCTAAACAGTGTTAATATAAACAAAATGTCATATCAGATATAGATCTTAAACAAATCTACATTTGCAATATATTTTCAAGTAACCTAGATAATTGTATGTATGGCAGGCTATCAGATAGCCGAAGGTAATTCAGTGCGATCCTCGACTCTAGCACATGTATTAAGGAATAACTCTCGATGCCGGGGAGTCTGCGGCAGAAAGCTAGCACTTTATGGCAATGGTCAAAGCGCTGCGATTTCTTTTTCACTAACGACTCGAGATGTGTTCCCGACGTTAAGGTGGATTGAATTATTTACCGCCACATCTAAAAGCTCATAGTACATTCGTCTATTTTATTTATTCAAATTTTAACATCTAACATTATTACATCTATATTTAAAATCCAACATTTGGTGACTCTTAATGTGGTATGTAAACATTTATTTTTGCACTGCCACCCGCGGTTTTCGCTTCATCTAATTCGACGTTTATAGTGCGAATTGTGCCGATAGAACCATAAAATACTCTATAAAACTGCTCTTACGTCGACATTTGAACGACCTACTTTACGAGTTCCTTTTGGATTTGCTGTCATAGTCATATAGTTTCTGATAAAAATGGTAATCTTTTTCTTCAATAACAATGTAATGGAAATATTTTTATGTATAAAATCAAACTCAGTGGTAAATATAATTTGATATATAGCGGTACAAATACTATTGTAAATCATAAATTTTATAAAACAGTTCGCCAACAAGCGCTCCCTATGGGACTGTAAGTCACGACATGAACCGGCTCCAGAGAGCTAGACTCGTTACTTGCGGGATCGAGGCTCCGACTAGATTTTGCAAGCTAGCAATACCTCTGTAATTCATTACCCGCAACCGACGCCAGGCGAGTGATCATTTGTGCGCCTGCCGCTGCTACACGTGATTACAGACGCACTCAATGGAAATAAACAGATTGAAATCGGCTTTACACATTCACACTCAATGTAACGTTTTGGTCACATTGCGTTCCTTAATTGTACCATTGACATTCTTTTATACATAAACTTGACAGATTAGATGTGAACAAAAAGCGAGTAACTTATAATGTCTTTAAATTCAGGTACTGTTCAGATTATAAACGATTGAAATAATTCGAATGATTTCATCGTCATGTATAGATTAAATCATGTAAACAACTAATAAACAACAAACAAACTGAAACGAAACTGAATTAATATATTTCTAGTAAAACGGAGTCATTACCAGGATAAGGATAATGTATTCAATAAAAATATGACAAGAACGTTTACATCGCATACAGATGAGAGTATCGATTTGTGGTGCATCTCGCAATCAGTCGCATTGACACAGCAGCCGTGCGCGGCGCCGGTGTGGTACGAGTCACTAGGACTGCACTCCCGGCTGCGCTGCCAGGCTGCGTCGACAACGCTCCGACACCGCTTCGTTGCCGCGACACTACATCACTATCGCGATATTTTTCATCCCTTGACATCCGCTCTGTTAGCGTCAGTTCACTCGTAATTTATGTCGATGTAACTCATGCAACGGATACGAATAGCGCTTCGCTCTATTGCGTATGTACCTAAAGTATAGCTCCCTTTATTCTATACAAAATTTTTCATTTGTTTGTTTTGGTTGCGTACAACGCTCTCCAGTAGAATTGTTCACTACACTTCAGTAGAATGTAGTATTATTCTCGAATGATGTATTTGCCTCGAGTTAAGGCTTTACTTTTAAATTATTTTATGCTGTACAAAAAATATATATTCTTGCTTATTTGGTTTCTTTGTTGTATATTTAGTAGTTTGTTTACTTGGTAATAACGTTTTATCTATTAAATGTATATATCCCTTTCTCCAAATGGACAAAGCAGCACTATGATCTCCCTGATCCCAACACTAGCATTTAATTACGAAATAAACTGAGGAGTCCCCTCGCCTAAGATGACGTCATTCCTTTGACCCTGCCACATGTACGTGATCCACGCATGCCCCATAACTCAGATATTGGATGTTCATATAATAATAGCATGATCAAATCCCTCTAGTCGAGATAGACGCTTGTAAGGGATTATTTTCTACTATTAACCTGTACGTGTGGCACGGCTTATTATTTCATTAAAATAACGTCATGTTTATCTTTCGAAACGTTTGTTCTGAATTTTGACTGTAATATTTGTTATCTCTTATTTCTGATATTTCATATATTGAGTTATTAAAATGTCATTAAAATCTGCAAAATGACATGATTGAACTGTTTATTACATTAAAGGAAAATCAATTGTATTTATGTCATCATTAATTACTTTTGGATGACCATATATTATTATAAAAAATATTTGTCGTTAAACCCGGAACGGAAAAAAGGAATAACATTATTTATCCCAAATACTGTTCAGAATTCTATACAGCGCAATTTATATAACACATATCAAAGTTTAGCGAATCAAGTATCTGATAATAAATTACTTGAATATAAAGTAATTACAAAATTAATGAGATTTACATAATTTGATAACGATGTATGAATCAAAAGTTATTAATAACAGTTATATTGAATGTGACGCTGATTAATTACTGATTCTGTTTTAACTTTGCTAAGTTGAGTGAAATGAGTAAAGTCACGTTGTGAGGGATGCGAGTCAACTTGGGGTTGGGGAGGATAATGGGGCATGATAGTTTTAATAGCCTTAAGCGCTAGTTTAAGCGAATGCTTTGCTAATACGGCTTATGTGTATTACTTATGTAGATTGTAGGGGTATTTATCCGGTTTGCCTTTCAGTTTAAATATTTTATAACATGATATCTATCTCAGTTTGTTCTGTGAGTCGTTGACTCGGAGACTTATTGTTAGCAAAACCTTGGAAAGAAATTAATCATTGTTATCTTTGCATTCGTTTGAAGACTAGACATTTTTTAGACTATATGTAACATATAATAAAAATTAGAAAATGTTTCTTCTATAATGTACATTGTTTTTAATCATTGTCTATCTTTGCATTCGTATCACCCTTCACAGAAGACTAGTACATTTTTTAGACTAGAGATGTAACCTTTCCTTTTTCCCATATAAAAAAAAAATTGGCAAGTCCGCAACAAAGAATCAAGTGGGCCGTCTGCTCGTTTGCCACCTTTGACATAAAAAAAAAAAAAAACATATTTATTTGAATATATTACCAATGAAAAACCATAAAAATGTGAGCACTTTAATGTAACTATAATCACGAATGGGTAGAAAAATAATAACTAGTTATGAGTGTTGTAACAGCTCATGTCCGCGTTTTACCGCAACTTATCAATTAAACTTTCTATTGGCGAGGGATATTAAAGTGTATCCGGTAACATTGTAACTGATAATATGGTGTCTACTATCTTATTACAATATAATTTCTCTAAGTATATTATATGCTGCAAAGAGAAAAAAAAACGTAAACTATTGATTAAATTCATTATAATAGGTATCTTTTACTAATACTTTATGTGCAAAGAACTTAAAGAGTAGATGCAACTGCGAGCACACAACTCAATGAAGATAATTTAATCCGTAGATTTTATACCGAGTATATCCATTTGAATGTTTACGTTTTACGATACAGTTGAAGCTACATTCGGATAGAATTTATTTGTTTCTCATTTCAAAGACGAGAAATAAAGAGATAGATAAATAATCATTACGAGGTTTCTCTGTTAATTGTAACCACAGACGATGAATTGATTGCTCAAATTTGCATTTATACCGTTTCGGATGTACAAGTTTAAGACAATAATAGCGACATTTTACGGTTAATACCCATTATAAAAGTTTGTTTTATCAAGAAGATTGTTTGTGTTACTTTCGTTGTATTAAATAAACCGTGAAAGTTGCCAGTTTAGAAATTAACATTGCTAACTAAATACTTTTCAATTATACGCGAAGTGATTTCATATGATAAATATAACTATTATGCCAGTAAGATGTAACCTAAGGTTTTGTATTCTCTAACAAAATAAATTTTGCAAATAATAAAGCATACTATTAAAAACGTCTAAAATAAATATGCAATAAATTGGAAAGCTGTCAGTGTAGTTATAAAGAAAGAAATAGAGCCGACATCTCAAACTTGAACGTCATAAAAAATATTGTACCCGTCAAAGACGCGGTCGTTAACATTTTAACGCGTTTACTTGAACGGGGTTGGGATATGAGGCTCAATAAAATTTAAGTAATTTAATGCTCTTCCCATACTTTATGGAAACGAATATATTTTTTATTTATAGCATCTCGTTAAGCCAATAAAAATCATATTTAGTATGGATATATTAAGAAGTATTGGCAAAAAAAATATTCTATATTAAATAACTAGATTGTTATGTAGCAGTTTTTTTTATGTGTTCGATGAGTTTAAACAACTTTCAAATCAAAGTAAGTGTTTCGGTTGACTCTGAAACGTTCACTTATCTATGGCCGTATTTAAAGCATTTGTCAAGCTTGACAGAAGAGACTTATTTGTTTTCCACTTACCATTTCGATGTGAAACTCGGTCCTTTTAACGAAGTTGATGATTATCAAGTTTTAACAATCACATATACTAATACACCGTCACAAAAACATTGAAATGACTACTTTCCTGGAAGCTTAGATGCTATGAAAAGATTTTGAGCCTTGATAGAAATACATGTGAGATTAAAGAAAATATACGACTTCAGTCCTAAAAATGTACCCTTAATACCAAAGAATATAAAGTGGTTTGGTATAACATGTTATCTTTGAGTTAGTTCTATGTGAGATTTATATTTTTCTTTCTTACTTCCACTGCTCGTTTTTGATAAAATGTAAATAAGAATATCATAAGAACTGTTATTATATTATATTGTACTACACAGTTGAATTATTATGAAACTTTTGAATTTCATTTAACAAATTTTACTTGTAGTGGGAATGGTATAATTGGGAACACGTCTAGAGACAGATACTTACACAAATATGCATACAATACAGAACTGAACTTTTGTATTAGGTATATTCTATACCTACATTCTCTATTCACGTTTTCTTTAATTACCTCATAAAAATAATTTTATATTTATTACTTATGTTGTTTTTTGGACTGCATCAGTAATTAGCTACCTTCCGGCTAAGGACTTTTATTTATAATAATACAATCATTAAATCCCGACAATATTTGATATTATGAATAATTTCGAATACCACAACATATTGATGTATTATATTTTTCTGGTTTTTTTTTTTTGTAATAAGTACAAAACAGCTATGTTGTTGAACTTTAAAAACACCATTAGGATCTCCCTTTTAGAAATTATGAAGGAATTTATAACTACTGTATCAATTTCAACTGTTATTTGACCTAAGGCTGAAAACAACAACAACACTCACTGTATAACCAGAGACTCTAATTTATGTAGAAGGGTAACAGGCCTTGTTAATTATCACGTACCGGTATAATGCTTGTAATTTGGTCCCCAGTCACCCTTAAGTATGCGGTTGTGTTTGTCACAAATTAGCAAATGATATCTTTAATGAAAATGTGATGGTCAGCTCTGATTTATATAACTCTATGGATGTCTGTGACGCCGTTTTATTCATCACTTAATTATTTAACAAATGAAGTGCTATTCACTTGAAATTCGGACGATATGGTCTTATATTAAACAATTTTAATGTCGACTGTGAATTCGTTAAAAACGTCGCGTCGAGAAAATTAATGTTGCGGTCGTGATATGACTGCGAGAATATTTTGGTCAAGTTATGTTTTTATTCCTTTGTACTGAGAAAGAATGAGGGTGAAAGATGCTTTAAATTTTATTTCTTACACATGTATAACGTTCAGTATTATAGAATAAATTTTAGATCAGATTTAAGATCCTATTACTTTGGTATTTTTAGCAAAGAAATAGTTTAAATATAATAATATATGAGATTTTCTTTCATCTCGTCTGCCTTTGATCACGGTTGCTGCAAACTGAACGAAACGTCGGATAAAATTTAAAATAATATAATAAATCCTAAAATCATAGTTTCATTTAAATATAAATGTTATCATGAAAATACGGTGCTTTTATCTTAAGAACACAAAAAGAACTACGTAACTCGAAATGGTTCATATCTAAATATTAAATATTCATTTGAGCATACTTTTTTTATTTTGGTACCGGTAAAAATAAAGAGTCGTCGTTTTAGGAATTACATCCATTAAAGTTTATTTTATGTTTCTTGTTACTAATATAGGAGACCAGTGGACCGGGGTACCAAGTATACGTATAATTTGGCTAATAACACTCTAAATCGCATTACCTCACAACCAGTAGCAATGACACTTTGCACTCACGTTTACTATGATTTTATGACAATATCATATAATAAATATTATATAAAAAATAGATCTGTTTATTAATATGTTGGCATAATATATTATTGTTATTATTGCGGAGTAACGAATATAGTTAATTTAATTATGTATTAATATTATAATATACTAGAATCTTAGTGTTACTTATATAAATTTCAATACTTTTGAAACATAA